TCTCTCTCAAATAAATAAATAAAATCTTGGGAAAAAAACCCTTTCATTTGAAGGTCATTTTGTATGAGGTATAGGATGGACAAGGCACAGCCCTACTTTGGAGGAACTCACAGTCTTGCGATTCTGTCTGGTTATTCTTGGCCACAATTAAGCAAGAAGCCTCAGTTCTCTCAGGTGTTGAAAATACTATTTACCTCTGTTTCCCACACTCGGTTAACAAACACAGACGTTATAGCATTCACAAAGCGTGAGGAGCTGAAAGACATTGTGAAAATTCCGAGGAGTATTATATTTGATGATAATTATTGGGTGTGCTATCAGCAGGGGTAGAAGGTAGTTTTGTAGCTCCTTACAAAATAGACATTTGGAATTGTGATTTCAGGTCAAGGAAACATTGTTGTACACGAACCTTTGAGGGACTTGCTCAACTCCAAACACAAAGCAATGGTCTTTAAAATATAAAAGAGAGGGGCGCCTGGGTGGCTCAGTCATGATCCCAGGGTCCTGGGATCGAGTCCCACATTGGGCTCCCCGCTCGGCAGGAAGCCTACTTCTCCCTCTCCCTCTGCCCCTGCTTGTGTTCCTGCTCTCGCTATCTCTGTCTCTGTCAAATAAATAAATAAAATCTTTAAAAATATATATATAAAAGAGAAAGATGAAAAGAAACAGCTGGACCAAAATGTAGTCTTCTAGGAACCAGGAATGCAAAGCAGAATGAGACTGAAGACATGGGCCTGTTGGGGTCCAGGTCTGAGGCAGAGGATGCTGGAATGGGGCCTCTGCAGGGTTAGGGAGACTAAAAGTGAGGGAAATGGGTGGAAACCAGAACCAGGTTCACTGTTTGAAACGAGTAGTTTCAAAACAGGGCTAGACTGAGAACCCCCACCCTCCTACACACAAAGTGGCTTGTTAAAGAGGCTAAAAAAAGCTCACCACTGCCTGAGATGGGCCTTACATGAGGGAATGATCAAGCAGGAAAGCAAGGAAGGACACATGACAGGAAATTGGCCTCCATGACTGAATCTGTGGCATCTCTATTATCATAGTAAGGGAAAAGAAAAGCTCTCCTTAATTGGGTAATATGATTATCTATAAAGAAAATCAAACAGACTATACTGAAAAAATATTAGAACTAAAAAGACAACTCAGCAAGGCTGCAGGGTATAAGATCAACAAACAAAATTCAATTGCAATCCTGTATCTCAGTATTTATCACATACAATATTTAATAGCAAACAAAAGACACCATTTTTAACAGCAATAAGTGATGAAGTGTCTAGGAATAAATAAACACAAATGTGGACTTTTGTCTCTAAATAAAATGTTGATTTTATGTATAAAATATTTTTATGGAACAAATTAAGATTGAATAAGTGGAGACCTATACCATATTCATGAATTGGAATATTCATTAAAATGAATTCATTAAAATGAATGAAGATGTCATTTCTTCTAAAGTTAATATTTAATTTCAATGCCAACCCAGTTTTTAAAATTCTGATTATGTAACATCGAACAATGATCACTTAATTCATGTAGAAAGGTAAAGGGTCAAAACTAATTATAGTAGGTGGGAATGTCTTTGGCAGCAAGTGAAAGAATATACAACTTAAAGTGGCTTAAACAATAACAGGTTTATTATTTCACATCACAGGATGTCCAGTGGTAGGTGGCTTCAGGATCAGTTAATTCAGCAGCACAATGACATCACTGAGACCTGGGACCTTTTCATCTCTCTGCCTCGCCATTCTCAGTGTGCTAGGCTCCAGCTTGTCCTCTCAAGGTGGCAAGATGGTTGCCACTGTCCCGGTCATCATGTTTTCCTCCAACTCTGTCCAAAGATAGGAAGGGCAAGCCTTCTTCTTTTGTACCTTTTTAAATGAGAAAACTTACCTATCCTATCCCATCTCCACCCTAACACAATTCCACATAGGTTTCATTGGCAAGAGATGCAACACACATGCCTATGGTCAAACCAATCCCAATGGAATGTTAATTACTATAATGGGCTTAAACTAAGCACCTTGGGGTGGGGTTCATGGACACCTGAAAACAATTTAGGTTCAGTTAGAAAGGAGAAAGAGACAATATACTTTGGACAGATAATCAACCACAATACCCAAGGCAATTTTAAAAAGAATAAGTCAGGGGGATTGCCTTACCAAAAAAAAAAAAAAAAAAATCAAAATTTAAAACCAGAGATAGCATAACAAACCTGGAGAGAAAAGATGAGTGTTAATAAATGTGTGTTGGAATACTTATATATGTATTTCCTATTTCACATCACAAGATTTTAAGTTGATTTAAAGACATAAATGTGAATAGGGTGCCTGGGTGGCTCAGTTGGTTAAGCGACTGCCTTCGGCTCAGGTCATGATCCTGGAGTCCCGGGATCGAGTCCTGCATCGGGCTCCCTGCTCAGCGGGGGGTCTGCTTCTCCCTCTGCCCTCTTCCCTCTCGTGCTCTCTGTCTCTCATTCTCTTTCTCTCAAATAAATAAATAAAATCTTTAAAAAAAAAAAAAAAGACATAAATGTGAATAGTCAAATTTTATACCTGTAGGAAACATATAAGAAATTGTCTTTACACCCTTGGTATAGGAAGAATTTATTAAATACAGCACAAAAGAATAAAATATCGAGGAAAAGATGAATAATTTTACTAGTTTAAAATAAAAGTATATCATCAACAAAGTGAAAAGACAAGCTTAGACTGAGAAAAGATATTTTTCCAGACATACAACAACCAAGGTATTTGTATTAAAAAGTTATGAAGAACTCCTGCAAAGCGATAAGAAAAAGAAACAACTAGAAGGCAAATTTGACAAAGGATATGAACAGGCAATTCTCAGAATAGAAACCCTAACGGCTAAAACACATACAAGAAGATGTTCAATCTCACTAGAAATGAAGGGAAAACAAAATAAAATAATAAAAAGTTACCATTTCATAACTATAAATATGCAAACATTTTAAAATTTGAAAATACCAAAAATTAGCAAGATGTGGAGAAATAGGACTCTTAGAAAGCAAAATGGTGATATATACTTATATAAATCCTAAGACCCAGCAGTTGCTCTCTTGCTTAGATTAGTGGTTTTCAACCAGAGGTGATTTTGCCCCCCAGAAAACATTTGGCAATGTTTGAAGACATTTCTGGTCGTAACACTGTGTATTGGTCTGCTACTGATACCTTCCGGGTAGAGGTGAGGGGTGCTGCTAAATATCTTACCCGCAACAAAGAGTTATGTAGTCCAAAATGTCAATAAGACCAAGGTTGAGAACTTCTGGCCTAGAAAGACTCTCACATGGTGTGCACCAGGACACAGGTATTTAAATGTCAATTGCAGTATTGTTTAAATAGCAAACAATCACAAACTCAAAGCAACCCATACGTCCATAATGCAGGAAAATAGGTAAGAAACTTGGGTATTTCAAACAAGGAATAATATATAACAGGTGTAATTAATGAATTAGTTCTTCAGGTTGCAACATGAATAAACCTAAACAATAATGATGACTAAAAAAGTATTGCAGACCGTTACGTACAGTGTGATATAGTATTCCTTTACAGTTTACAAACACAAAGCAATACTATATATTGTTTATGAATATGTACATATAAAAGTATAAAAACATGCATTGTTAATGATTTATGGGAACTTCAAGATAGTGATTACTTTTGGGAAAAGAGGAAAGGAGGAAAAATAGAGAAATGAATGAGATCGGGAGTAGACAATGGTTTCAATTCTGCTTGTAAGAATTTTTACAACAAACAAAAAACCCAAAAGCAGATAAATCAGACATTAGGATTTGTTGAGTATTTTATACATAGATGTTTGTTAAACTATTTTCTATATTTTTCTGTCTGTTTGAAATATTTATGATGAAAATATTTTAAAATATTTTAAGAACTGCATCTGCTAGAATGAGTATTCTGTTTGTGTTTCAGGAGCACGGAGTTGGTGGAGAAAGTCAGTGTTTCCAGAAGAAACCGTGCCACTCCACAGGGAAATTAGAAAAGGAGAAAGTGACTCCTGAATAAAGGAGAGTTTATTCATTTAAAGACCCCTCTCCCAGGGATTCTTGGCAGGAAGAGTTCGCTTTCCTGCTGCGCCAGTGATTGGTAGGCTATACCTCTGTCCATGGTCCTATTCCTCTGCTTCAAACAACCTTAGAAGAATTCAGAAGGAGGTTCAAATTTGCAATGTAGAAAGACATTGAAGTGTTCTAGATAGAGCTGAGAAGCTGAGAGAAGAGGAAATATTGTGGGTATAGCAGATCTTTTGAATATTTGAAAAGAAGTTCCGACTGTCTGCAGCAGATCCCACCAGCAGAAGGGGATCCTTTGGGACAGTCATTCTTTGTGATATTGATGAATAGCGTCTATCAGTGGAGTGAGCGCCACTTGAGCTGAAGCCTGCTTGGTAGGAATGACACTATCATCTCCCTAACATTTCATATTTTTAATGAAAAGCCTTCTCATTCCTAACGCTTTTCATCATTTTTTCCCCAACGCTTCTGTAAGACCATTCGATATTCATCTCTGCTTTTACAGTGATGAAGAGAGACTAACAAAGCTTTCCAAAGGACTTAGGTTCTTTCTATTAACCAATATTTTTTACCTAAGCCACTGGGGATATATAAACAGTGAGAGTAACTCAACTGAGAAAGATATTTTATGGGCATCCCATAGTAATCGCCTATCTTTTAAAAAGAAACAACAGTTTTTTTTGTTTGTTTGTTTTTTTTTTTTTTGAGATCCCAGGAGGTGTCTGGCACTGCACGACGTGGTATGAGCATGAGAGTGCAGAACATAATGTTTGGGAACGTAATGTTCCTCCAGGGACTTAAAAATTAATGCAGATCCAAAACTGTTAGAAAAATGTTGGTTGTAATAAATTATGGAAAAACAAAGTGCAAGGTGTAGAGACAAAAATCCCGAGCATAGTGACAAACCAGGGAACATGAATACAGAATATGATGAGCCAATTAACCTCAGGAGAACATGGGCTTCACAGTATGGGCAGAATACAAGATATTTACCCCGAGAAGTCAATTTTGCAGACTCAGTTACTTGTCCACACACACAAAATCAGTAGCTGTTTCTGATGGGCCACTGGCAAAAGAAATTCACTGTTCTTTCTATAGATGGAGTCTAAACCATCCAGCACATGATGAAGTGTTTAAGGAAAAAATATGTGGGTTGGCAAACTTTTAATCTACAAAAGTGGTGATCTAGTTTTGGGTGATAGCTCTAATGGAAATAGGTGCAATTGCGTTTGTAGATGCTGATTTTTATCAGCAACCAGAAACTGTGCTAAGAGCTCAATTTGGCCTACTTTAGGTTCCCTGGGTAAGTTAGTGGGGGGATTTTCATTAGGTTATTTGTTATATGTCAGAAGAGGAAATAAAGCAATACACAAACACTGTGATATATAGGTAAGAAGCTATCTTAATAGAAATAGTTCTCTAGTCTAGGATGTTTCCCTCCCAAGGTGATAGAAAGTACTTGGAAATGCAGGGACCTAACTGGACTTCAGACTAAGCTTCCTTCATTGCCCCAGCCTTCCTGTTTTAACAACTTCAACCTTGCTAACCTACCAATACTAGGGGAGTTGGTTTTATTTATATACTGATAGCTTCTGATTTGGGCCATTGCACCTTCATTCACTTGTCGTCATTGCACCTTCATTCACTTTTATACTTTTTTTCACATTTTCTTGTATCATAGTAATATGAAAAGATAAAAAAATGTCTAGAAGTGTTTTTTCCATTGTGGAAGTGAAGAATTTAGATTGTCACTTCCACATGGATATCTAATAGTCATCTCAAACTGAACACGACCAAAAGAGAACTCTTGATTCTTTCCCTTAACCTTCTTGTATTAAACAACACCAAGAGGCTTAAATAGAGTTTTCCTCTTCTCATAAACAAGATGTCTGGCAGTAGATTATTTCTGGTGTTGGTTCAGCTGCTCAACTATACCATCAAGGACCCATTGATAGTATTCCTCTTTTTTTCTATGTCCCATCCTTAACATGTTGGCTTTTAATCATCATGACTTTTGTTTTGTAGTCACAAGATGGCTGCTGTGACTCCAGGCATTGTGATAGTGCTCAAGATAGCCATATCTATCCCCAGAAGGCTTTCACTTAGGTCTCATTAGCCAGAAATGAGTCACTCCTGGCTGCAAAGGAGCAAAAGAGAATGGGATGATTATGATTGAATTATACCAGTCATGATTCGTCACTTGGAGCTGGATATACTGTTGCCCTCAACCAAGTCAGGCCTCTGTTAGCAAGTAGGAAGAGAACAGCTGTTGGAAAGGGAATTGACACAGTCTGCCATATTTCTTATTCCCAGCCTACCTGTTTCACTAAAGAGCATCACCATCTGCCCAGTGCCCAGTAGAGGAGAGAACTTTAGTCTCTTTCTTTCTCTTATGTCTGCCATAATCAACCACCAGAAAGTTCTGTTGACTCTACTTCCCATGTATACCCCTAATCCACTCTATTCTCCCTGTCTTTGCTATTGCTATCCTCATTCAAGTCACCATTGTTTACCTGAATTACTGCAATTGCCTCTTAAAGAAACAGAAAAAAATCACTTTCTTGCTTAAAACCTCTCATTGGCTTCCCATCTCACCTAAAATCCAAATTCCTTACTATGACCTTCCATGCCTAAAAGATCTAGGTTCTGTCCACCTGTCCAACTTTATCCTGTTCCACTTTTCTGTTTGCCCCAGATTTCCAGTCATGCAGGCTTCTTTCTCTTCCTCAGACTCTACCTTGTTACCATCTTGGGGACCTTCAAACCGCCTCTTTTCTCCA